GGGGATCGGCGCCCCTCATTGTCGAGCGGCTCAATCCTCCTGGGCGGTTTGGAGCAGAATGCTGTCACCAGTGATTCAATATCGCTGACAGCTTTGTATTTGAATGCGCCTCTCGCCTGGGCCATGCCCACGCTGAGGCTGCGCTGCTGAGACAGACCGCTCTTACAACGAGAGCTCTTGTCTCGCTCTGCTTTGCTCACGGCTCGATTTCTTCAATGAAGATGGCCCCGCCCCGCCATAAAACAAGGTTATTCACTGCAATTTGCTCGAATACCCCGCAATTCAGCTGCATGGTTCCCACCTCAGCTTAGAGCAAAGACGCACACGTCCTGCGCTCAGAGGTGATGAATTTGCTGGCGATAGGAGCCGTAGAAACTGTTTCCCCAGCTCAGAGCGAGTCAGGCTTCCACAGCCGCTACTTCCTTGTCCCCAAAAAGGATGATGGCCTCCGGCCCATCCTCGATCTCAGACACCTGAATCACGCCCTCATGAAAAGGTCGTTCAGGATGACTATGCTGAAACAGATCCTTGCGCGAATTCGCTCAGGAGACTGGTTCTTTTCGCTGGACTGGTTCTTTTTGCTGGATGCATACTTTCTGGGCCCCCGCACTTTTACGAAGTGCATGGACACGGCTCTCTCCCCTCTGAGACAGATGGGAATCTGCATTCTTAATTACCTCAACGACTGACTCGTTCTGGCCCAGTCAGAGGCCAGAGTTAATATCACACAGGACCCTCCTCCTCAGCCACCTGGAGAGCCTGGGACTCAGGGTCAATTTTGCCAAGAGCCCGTTGTTCCCCAGCCAGCGAATATCTTTCCTGGGAACAATTTTCAACTCAGCCCAAATGAGAGCTGTAGTCACGCCGGAACGGGCTCTGGCCATACGGAGGCTGGGGGCGTCCTTCGAGATTGGTACCACTCGCCCTCTCAAAGCGTTTCAAAGGATGCTGGGCCTCGTGGCGGCGGCATCGCCAGCGCTACAGTTGGGTACAGCGCTACAGTTCCTAAAGGGGCACCATGTGCTACTCCGATTGGACAACATGTCTGTGGTGTCCTACATAAATCGCCAGGGAGGCCTCTCCTCGAAGCGTCTCTTCACTCTGGTAGAGTGCTTCTTAGAATGGGCTCAACCCAACCTGCGCTCGCTGAGAGCAGTGCATATACCGGGCAAATTGAACCAAGGAGCGGATATGCTATCAAGGAGCAATGTCCCCTCAGGGGAGTGGACGCTCCATCCGCAGACGGTTCAGCCTGAGGGGTGCTAGGAGTCTGAATCCGCCTCGTCCCCCTACCGTCCCTTCATGGGATCTGCCCACTGTGCTGAGGGCCCTGAAGGGCCCCACTTTCGAGCCGCTACAGTCTGCCAACATTCGGTCGCTATCGCTGAAGACTGCTCTGCTTCTAGCACTGGCATCAGTAAAGCGAATAGGGGACCTGCAGGCGCTCTCTATTAGCCCTGCCTGCCTGGAATTCAGGCCTAACGACACTAAAGTCATCCTGAAACCAAGGCACGGTTACATACCTAAGATGCTCTCCACTCTGTTCAGAGCACAGGTCATTACGCTCTCCGCGCTTCCTCCAACTGAAGAGGACAGAGAGCTATCTCTGCTCTGCCCCGTCAGAGTGTTGAGAATCTATATTGAGCGTTCCGCTCCCTATAGGCGATCGGAACAACTCTTTGTCA